CAAGTGATCACATGCAGGAATGTGCGAGGCACTCCCGTTGTGGGCGGAGCGTGCTCGGTGGGTGGAGCCAATTTAAAAATTCGCAAAACGCTTCCAGAGCACTCCAGACACCGGAAAAAGTAGTTTAAGATCAGCGAGGGGTTATAAGTTGAGAAGCGCGAGGTATACAATACCGCTCCTAATTTGTGGTCAATCGACGGTTTGCGACAGATTTTTCCGTCGCAAACCGTCGTTTTGCCATAACTTCCGTAGAAGTGGTCCAAATTATTTGAAATTACACTGATGGATAGCTGGGAACACGCCGAGTCCAACTGATTATGAACGGTCCGATTTTGTTCAGTTTGTTGACCTTATTTTTAACGAGCTCCGCTGTTGAGTCTCCAGTTACCTCAGGTGGTACCTGAGGATATGACAGCGTCGTGCACCCTCCAGTCTGATAGCGGAAATCAATCTGAGCGTTTCAAACTTAGAAATACCAACATATTTGAGGAGAGCGTGTTTCCGTGATCATTTTGATACCGGCTTCGATAATGTTTCGGTGAAAATTCAGCGCGAAATGAAGGTTTTCCCTGAAAGCATGCGAGAATTGCATCTTTTGACCTATGGATGCACAACTATCCTTCGAATCTCACTTCTCTGGGTTTTTTAATTTAGAAAAAAGTATCAAATTTGTCATAAGATGCATTTCAACCCAAGTTCAAAGCACGGTCGAAACACTGAATTTCATGATTTTTTCCAAATTTGAACGAGCATTTCTCAGCATTAATTGTAGTATTGGCGAAATCACTGAGGGGTTGTAGACTTGGTTCAGGATAAATAGAAAATCCAGCATATGATTCCATCACAGGTAAGCAATTCTTCCGCAATAAGGCCCTAAACTTCGGTGTTTACCTAGTCTGATACAGTAATCACATTTCTTCCATATTTGAATTGGCATATCATCCTAGCAGGTTAACTGAGCAAAGAAGCAGGAAAATCCTACAAAGAACACTTAGAGCAGTTTCAGTAATCTTACCAGTCGCCTCGCCGGCTGACGCCGGCGCGGCTCCTTCTGATACGGCCCGGCTGCGCCGGGCGGGCGCGGCTTCGCCGCGCGTACCTTCTTTCACATATTTCTAGACTCAACTGATATCCGCCTTTTGTTCTGTACTCCACTTTTCTCCGGTGTCTGAAGTACTCTTGAGCTATTTTACAGATTCTTCGTCTGACTCCCGCCCACCTCAGAGCAGACCCCGCCCACAATTTTTGTGCCCCGCACTCTTCACAGGCGACCCCTGCTGACCTTAATCCACTTTTTTCCGGTGTCTGAAGTGTTCTGGAACCGTTCTGCAGAGTTTTTGTCTGGCTCCGCCCACCTCGAAACAGGCTCCGCCCCCAATTTTTGTGCCCCAATCCTCATGGCGACCCTCTGCTGACCTTAATCCACTTTTTTCCGGTCTTCGGAGTGCTCTGGGAGAGTTTTGGAGAATTTTTGTCTGGCTCCGCCCACCTCGGAGCAGGCCCGCCCACAATGTTTTTGCCCCACAGTCCTCACCGGCGAACCTTTGCCGACCTTGACGCACGTTTTTCCGGTCTTTGCAGTGCTCTGGAACCGAGCTACAAACTTTTAAAGTGAGTATCCTGCGGTTTAGGGCAAGCTCCGCCCACTGTGGGCGGATCTCAACACATTTTGAGCGTGCCCAATACTCGCCAGATATTTACATTCTGCACTGAGCTTTTTGCGGCTTCTGAACACTCTCGCGAACCGAGTTACTGAGTTTTATGCGAAGCACCGCCCACCTTGAGTACGCCCCGCCCATTTTGGATGTGTCTGCCACAGTTAGTCTGGCGACTCCTTACTAACCTTATTCCCTTTTTTCACCATCTTAGGCTGCTCCGGAAGCGAAATTTCAGCGAGTGCCCCGCCCACTGTGGGCGGGGCTTCGCATAGGTCAAGTGTGCTTTTTATTTCTTGTCCCATGCCTACCCATCCCCACCTTGACCCGACCTCTCCAAGTCGTTCTTCAGGTCGAACCGAATTTCCGGACAGACAAACAAACTTACAAACAAACAAACAGACGAAGCGAATTATATATATGGGGTGTATATATATGGGGTGATATGGGGTGAAACTCACTGCTTCAGGGCAAGTCCTCTGCTTGGTAGGGTGCAACAATTCTTGTACATCGCTACGTTTTCCGTAAAAATGGAATTGGCCGAATTGATGGGAGCCTATTGAAACCTATATGGTTGGATTCTGTAAGAAAAATGCTATCCAACGATGTAAAAACCATGTCCTATCGACAAAGACACTTTTTTCATCAACTTATTTTTTCGGAGGCTGGGGTTGGCGATCAGTCTCTATTTGACTTCTGCGCTGTACATAGAATTGCAGATTTATGGGGAGAATTCCATATCGTTGAAACCAGCTCGTCGAGCTCTTTCCAATGTTATTTTCAAATCATGGAAATATCTACATTTGAGCATTCCGATCCTACCAAAGTACCTAAGGGGACCGATTAACGAGCGCCGCTTGCCCTAATTATTACCAGAGGGAGATAAGGTCCCACTAGGGGCACTTGACATTAGCACATTATGATAGTACTAGTTTGTAATGAAGTTTTCTGAGGAAACTGAAGCTTCTCTCGAACGGTGCTTCTCACTATGATACTGAACTGAACTTTGATACTACACACGCAAATTCAATGTTCAGCCGTACTACTAAAAGGACTTGTAGAATGGATTTGTTTCTGAGCATTTTCATTCTAGCCGCTCAGGAAGGAGATGGGGTAGGCTGTCGATCGTTTAGAGTACTTAGGCACAGGATCTGAGTACATTGTGGAGGTCATTTCGAAGGCTTCATGTGGATGAATAGCTTCTTCTTCTACAACCGTTTGGTATTTTGTGATGCCTTTTCCCAAAAATGGGTTTTCTTGGGAACTTGAAATTCTCAGCTGCTCGCAAGGAACCCTAGTGAAACGCTGGTATTCTGTACAATCAGTTTTACGAGTAAAATTCTGTTTTCCACACGTCAGATCTCAATCCTCGACTGTTCCTTTTCCAGCCTGAAAATACTGTCTCATGATAAAAATGACAAAAGCGGCTATGAACCACTCAACGACCTAGGTGGAAAACCAGCTAGGAAGTAACTGGCACCATTTGGGAAGCACGAGATTTTCGATATACTTTTCAGAACAATATAGTGCTATCATAATGTGCTAATGTCAAGTGCCCCTAGTGGAACATTATATCCTCTGGTAATAATTAGGGCGAGCGGCACGTTAACTGTTCCCCCAGGTACTTGCAGGATGGAATGCTCAAATTTAGTTATTTCTTTGAAAATAGCACTGGAAAGAGCTCGACGAGCTGGTTTCAACGATATGGCATTCCTCACACGAATCTTTAATTCTAGGTACAGCGCAGAAGTCAAATAGAGACTGATCGCCAACCCCAGTCCTCCGAAAAAAAAAATAAGTTGATGAAAAAAGTGTCTTTGACGATAGGTCATAGTTTTTATATCGGTGGATAGCATTTTTCTTACAGAATCCGACCATATGGGTTTTAATAGTTCGGCTTTTAATTTATTCGGCCAATTCCCACCTTTTTGCTCAGTTAACCTGCTAGGATGATATGCCAATTCAAATATGGAAGAAATGTGATTACTTGTATCAGACTAGGTAAACACCGAAGTTTAGGGCCTTATTGCGGAAGAATTGCTTGCCTGTGATGGAACTTATGCTGAGTTTTCTATTCAGCACTGAACCAAATCCACAACCCCTCAGCGATTTCGCCACCACTACAATAGATGCTGAGAAATGCTCGTTCAAATTTGGAAAAAAAATCATGAAATTCAGTGTTTCGACCGTGCTTTTGAACTTGGGTTGAAATGCATCTTATGATGAAATTTGATACTTTTTGACAAATTGAAAAACCCAGAGAAGTGAGATTCGAAGGATAGTTGTGCATCCATAGGTCAAAAGATGCAATTCTCGCATGCTTTCAGGGAAAACCTTCATTTCACGCTGAATTTTACCGAAACATTATCGAAGCGGTATCAAAATGATCACGGAAACACGCTCTCCTCAAATATGTTGGTATTTCTAAGTTTGAAACGCTCAGATTGATTTCCGCTATCAGACTGGAGGGTGCATGACGCTGTCATATCCTCAGGTACCACCTGAGGTAACTAGAGACTCAACGGCGGAACATCGAACGGTATATAGCCCATTAGATTTGTCGTGGCCTCAGCTATCCAAAAGTATAATTTTCAAATAATTTGGACCACTTCTACGGAAGTATTTGCGAAAAACCTGTCGCAAACCATAGATTGACCACAAACTAGGAGCGGTGTTCTACGTTTTGGGCGGAGCGTGCCCCGAGGTGGGTGGAGCCAAATTTAAAAAATTCGCAAAACGCTCCCAGAGCACTCCAGACACCGGGGAAAAAGTAGTTCAAGATCAGTGAGTCGGTCATAAGTACCAGTCGAGAAGCGCGAGGCATACGCTTGTGGGCGGAGCGTGCGTTGAGGAGAGCGGGGCCAGTGTTAGAAATTCCTCAAGCGGTTCCAGAGCACTCCAGGCACTCCAGACCTCCTCTGTGATACAGCCCGGCCTTGCGGGGCACCTACTCGTAGGTCAAATGCTGACTAATACCCGGCTTTCCTCTCATCTGTCCACTTGATCAACGCTCCTTTCCACCATTTCATGCACCGTAATAGTGTTGAAAATAGCAGGTATGGTGCTATTGGTGAAATAATGTTGATCATCCGTTCAGATGAAAGAAAAGCCGGAATACTAGGCGGGTATTGAAATGTGTGGAAAAAGGTAAGGTAAGCGCGGTGGAGCCGCGCCCGCCCGGAGCCGTGCGGCATTTCTGAATGAGGCGCGCCGGTGTGAGCCGGCGAAGCCGGCTAGCCAAGTCTATAAGAGTCTTGAATAGTAGTTCGGACTCTGAATAAACGGGACACAACGTAACATAGAGGGTCAACGAGTTGGTCACCACTTACAAGTATTACTCAAACACTATCTTTTCTTTTTATTGTCAGCTTCGGCTCTCTGTTTATTCGCAAAGTCTTCATGGCTGTCTAAAACAACTAGCTATCCAAGGAATTTTTCAAGTATTCAGCCCACGTTCGGGCGATCCACGAAAACGTAAGGTATTTAGCTTCCCATACTTTCCACGAAAATGTCAGGTAATCAGCTAAACCCTCTAAGGTGGGCAAAGTTGGTAATAAATAAATCAAAAGAACAACGATGAAATTCTTCGCGTGAATTTTCTTTTCGGAACGACACCTCCATTCATCGTCCTGTTGGCTCTTGAATGCCCTTAGCATACAGGCTGTCGCGGGGCCCATCTACTAGTCAGTGATTTTCTCTTCTCAAAAAGAAAATTCTGGCACAATTTACTAGCCCCGTGGATGGAAGGCTCCATTGCTCCGAACCATAGCCGATCCAGGGATTGACCCGGATCACCCGCGCAACAAAATTATGATTATTCCCACTATTCATTTCGATTTTAGATCTGGATTAGATTTAGATTAGTCATTATCAATAGTAAAACAATAAACCCCTAGAATCGTAATGCAGAGTCTGCTCCATTTCGAAGGAGGGTTCAGACAGGACCATTGAAATAATTTAAGAGAGTTAGCAAACCACCTTCTCGGGGCATGCACTCGAGATCCCTGAGATCGGGTAGGCGGGGCTGCATTCTTCAACTTAAGAAGGTGTCTGTGCTTGGTGAGATATTGTCATCTTGACACAACTGTTGTCGTGTCTCTGTCCAGCACAGAACAAGATGACAGTTGTCCCAGACTGGAATATTCCACGAGTAACCAGTTCCGTGCCATGTTCAAATGCCACGCCTACTCTGGCTCAGGGATAAGGAGTGTAACTATTATGCATTTGGTGGGATGGGAGCTGGTCATCAGATCTGTGTCAAGAAAGAGTTGAGAAGGTTCTGCACAGTAGTGAATGAGTTTCCATTCTAACGAGTGGAAATTTTGGTGGTTAACTTCGAATTGGTACTAAATTCCGTCCAATTTGGTCAGATAAAAACCTAGGTAGGATAGTGGCTAAATCAAGAACCAATTTATTAGTTCATTATGGGGATAAGCGAAAACCAATGGGGAAGGCGACAAAAGCAAGTAGAAAAAAAAAGTTTGTGTTTAGGAGAGCATTTCACGATCCATGGGCCGGTTAGCTCGGACCATTAAGCTTCGCTCATTGGAGCGCTACCCCTCCCTGGCTAATTATGAGGGATTCACCAGCATACTTGTGATGACATCCTTGTCGGAGTGACTCCGCGTAGACGACTGGTGCGAGTGTTTCACAAATTCATCAAAGTTTAACTCCTAATACTGAAAAATTATTTCGAAGCCTGTTCATGATAGTGGAGTACACTCAGGCCAGAAAAATGAAAATTGAGTTGAAATTGTGTTACTTAGTGACAGAGTACACATCAATTCTTTACTAAATAAAAAGATGGCGTACAATCATGAGAAAACAGTATCCGATAATAATGACAATTACCAGAGTTATGTCGTAATTGGTGGGATTCGAATTTGGTGAAGTGTTTCAGAAATTCATCAACTTTAAACTCCTAATACTGAAAAATTATTTCGAAGCCTGTTCATGATAGTGGAGTACACTCTAAATGGCCAGAAAAATGAAGAATTGAGTTAAAATTGTGTTACTTAGTAATAGAGTACACAGCAAGGCTTTACCGTATGAAAAAAATGGCTTACAATCATGAGAAAAACAATGTGCGATAGTAATGACAATTACCAGAGTTATGTCTTAATTGAAGGGATTTCGATTGGTGCGAAGTGAAGTGTTTCAAAAATTCATCAAAGTTTAACATGACATGCCCCATCCGCAGCGTCAGGGTACAAGTTCACAGCACAATTTTAAGAATTCTAAACACGCTAAATTGAAGTGAGAAAAAAGAGCAGTTGCGGGATTTGAAGCTAAGGTATGCCTTATACAAGAGTGAGCTTTATACTCCGGAAAACAGAGTAATATCGTTACAGGAACGGTCCGCGATGACGTGTGAAAATGCAAGAGGTATTAAGGTAGTGCAATCCGCAGTGGACAGAAACTTGTACGGTGAAGGAATAAAGGCGCAAAGTTGCTTCAGTGGTACATCCCTTTTCCCAGTGACTCCGCCTCCAGACTCGCCTTCCACCAGCCAAAAGTAATGCTCCCGGGCAAGTATCATGGAGTGGATGCATTCAATGTCTCTTGTAGAGTCATAGGGTTCATTACTGGGAATCAGCCGACGGGAATCGTCCCAACGCGCGGTCTTTCGGTCTTTTACCTCTTCAGTTGTTCGAGGTTAGAGGGAAAACTGAAGAATGCGTTCCCAACGTTCCTTACGGTGTTTCGTCTTCTTAGACGATTCACTTGTCTAATTTTCTTTCACGTTTCTGCAACAAAACCTAAGCTTTTTATAGCGGACCGTGCCTTAAAAGAGCCAATAAGAACAACGAGACATGATAAAACAATTGGAACGGGTTGGCTGCGTGACGAGAGAATCACCTAAAAAAAGAGCTTAGGGAAAAACACACTAATATAATGAATACACTGAATACGAGTTTTTTTTCTTGAGAAAAAAGGGCTGTTTCTTTCATCTCAGGAAAAAAAACTCATTTCAGCCAAGAAAGATCAACAGAAGCTCACGTGAAGCTATTTTCAACTGCTGTCGCTGTTCACCTGAAGAGCGAAAAAGTGGGATCTCGAGGAGAGGGTCCGATAAATCTCTGAGGCAGCATTCAAACTATACGACAGCAGCGCTTCGGTCGCCTGTTAGGCGCACGATCAAATATAGACGTGAATGGAATAAGCAGTGGCAAGCGTCGGCGATTGATTGCGTCGGCAACTGATGCGCCGTCGTCGCAAACTTTGAACTCGACTTTATGAAAGTGCAGCGCGCGTACAGCATCTGTTATAGGCTGTTGAAGGCACCATTCGCAATTATCTGATAGTACAATTTCTGGAGTCAGTGAGCATGGATTGACTAGGCGTATAGGGTAAGAAAGGCTAAGAGAAAGATTACTCTAACTAGGGATGGTCGTCAGGTCGAAGTGGCCATTTGTGATGAGATGTAGATCACTAGACGTGGTTTTGGACGCTGATCTTGAATCTGCCTTCAAAATTTGCAAAGCGATTCTCTGAACGGAGTTATGGAGCCGCGTTTACCACGCAACAGGTCATGGGATCGGATCCCTGCTGAGCTTAACTTTTTTGCTTGTTGCGCAAACGTGGCAAAAAGTGATTTTGCCGTCACTACTACTTCAGTTCTCACCTGAGCTTGTCTGAAGAAAAGTTTGCCTCCATTTATTACTGCGCTTGGACTCCTTGTAGACTACAGTGCACTACAGTGCTTCTACAAGGAGTCCAAGCGCAGTAATAAATGGAGGCAAACTTTTCTTCAGACAAGCTCAGGTGAGAACTGAAGTAGTAGTGACGGCAAAATCACTTTTTGCCACGTTTGCGCAACAAGCAAAAAAGTTAAGCTCAGCAGGGATCCGATCCCATGACCTGTTGCGTGGTAAACGCGGCTCCATAACTCCGTTCAGAGAATCGCTTTGCAAATTTTGAAGGCAGATTCAAGATCAGCGTCCAAAACCACGTCTAGTGATCTACATCTCATCACAAATGGCCACTTCGACCTGACGACCTTCCCTAGTAAGCGCGAAAATTTGACGCAGGCGATAGCTCGCGAAAAGTAGCTGGACATGGCATTAGGTTTCTTGCCTTTCTTGCGAAGCTCAGTCTCCCATTTTGTAAATTCTCTTTGAATATTGTTCACTACTGTTGATAAGAAACTTAGGAGGGAACATTTGTGGCATATAAAACGAATGTGCGCCTACCCACGAAATAGATTACTTTATGACAGAAAATTGCTGAAATGCCCCAACTGGTATGCAACACCATACAAATAAATGTACTTACAGAGAAGTCTATAATTTGGTTGGGCCCCCCACCATCGGGGCTATCCTCGCTGGCTGACGTGGTGGCCGTGTCTTCAATGTCGGACCCGAAGGGGTTGAATCCTCGGGGAAGGACGTTCGCATTCGTGGCCATCCACGGATCAGCTAGAACCTGAAAATAAAAAATATGAATATGGAGAACGGCACGAGAAATTCCTATTGAAAGCGTTGTCATTACATGGTAGCTCCCGGATTGCGAGAATCATTCCACAAAATTGAACGGGATATGCAATACTGCAGTTTGGGTATTTATCTGTTCAGGCGTTTGCAGGTTAGCCCTCATTTTGTAGAACTCTTCCTTGTCGGACTTTGAGAGGATAGAAATCAACCCGTAGTCCACTAAATGTCTCGCAGTGTTACAGGAACGTTCGAGTGGCAAGAGAACCGTATATCGCCGCGCCAGTAAGCGTCGCGTGCGACGTCGCACCCGCTAATGACGACGATTTTAGGTGGTATTGGTCGAGAATAGACAATGTATGACCAAAAATAGACATAAGTGTCTACCATGTCCTTGTCTACATGAAATCCGATGCTCCGATCAAAAGTGCTGTGCGAATTAAGGGAACGTCGCGCCCGTCGCAATTTGCGATTCTCTTGCCCATATCCCCATATTCACTCCTGACAATGATTTTCGCGTGTTCGACACACACAGAATCATTCTCTCTTTTCTTTCCTTTTTGGACCTCTTGTGGTTCGAAATGCCTCGAGGATACAGCACGCATAGATTCATGGTTAAAGGAACGCCCTGCGACCAGGTATAGAAGATAAAAATATGGCGTCGGGAGGGTAGTGTGGTCCGCGACAAACAACCTTGTACCGGTTTCGCGGCAAAAAAATTGTAAAGGGAGGGTCGCTATAAGGCAGCAGGTTAAGCGATGTCGGAGTCAGCTGTGCGGATGAGAGCGTGTTGTTCGAGATGAACTTAAATGTTGAGCCCGCGTTAAATGTGATGAGTTCTGTGGCTCACATAGTGATAGCAAGCTAGCAAATGATCCAGCAGTGAAGAAAAAAGCAGAGAAACCCGTCGGAAATGTCTCATCACGAGCTCTTACTCACCTGTTTTCCCTTTATCATTTCCACCATTAGAAGAGGAGAGTGTGAGAAAAGGCACCATGAGGCAACAATTAGAAATGATTGGTGGGCGGTGCCAGTGATAGGGGGTTGGGCCAATGAGAGGACGACGGTATCGTGGGCGTCCTCACTCGTTTTCGAGACGTAAAAGTGGTCTGATCGCTGCCTCTGTGAACCTGGCTACCTGCTCACGACGGGAGAGTTAAATCCCAACTGAACGCGGACACTGCCTTTAATCAGGCGCATACAAGCTGATGTTGGAATGGGGTTCTATCTAAGGTGATTGACATTTTTTTTTCTGCTTTTTCCTTCACCAATTATGCAGGACCCTGCCGTCTATATGCAAACCCTAATCATGTGATGACGACTGATCACGAGCGTCGCCTCAAAGGATTGCCACCATGACTCCAAAATTGACCCTGTGGTGATTATTTACCTTACAGCTAT